TAGAATTATATTGTAAGTCTATGAGTTCGTAAAAATTATATATTCTAACGTAAATTAGAAGTTCTGTGAACAACACATCGTAAATTAATGTCAGGTGTATTAGAGGTACTGGGTGTCCTTCTATATTTTAACAGGGGGAAACACTGTCATCCTGTAGAGGCAAAAAAATCAAATGTGGGGGTTGTATTGATTAGTTTTTCACCTTTTGTGGTTAATTGGCGGTAATAATCATTACTTGATTTCTGAAAATCCATAAATGACATTTATGTTAAATAATACATTTCAACGGTTTTCACACAAAATAAAACAATGCTGCTAATGAAAATTGTATTTACTTTGTAAGGAATGTACTTATTCCTAATTAACAGAAAAAGGAAATTTTATAATGTATTCTTTATTCAAGAAAAAAATAAAAAACAACAAGATGTATTAAACACAATACAAAGGTCACCAAATAACATCCTTAACGCCCCGCGGCGCTAATAGATATTCTGCCGATACTCTATACCCCTATAGTCATAGAAAAGTGTCATTATTCTTGTCATGGAAATAACTCAAAACTGTAAAACCGCTACTACAGTAAAAATTTCAGTTGTATTGTCCACTTCACCTTGCTCATGTCTTTAGTCCTTTGTTTTAATCCAAGGGTAGTATTTTGCCATATGTATTAGTCAGTACAACAAAAAGATTTTCATCTAAGATACAATATGACAATGATTATTATTCATTAACAGTGTAGCTTCTATACAGATTGGTAAAAGTACACATGGGCCGATTCTGATGGAGGCGCCGGACAGGATATGTTTCATAAATAATTCCAAAACCACGGTTCCAAGCGCTATTCTGACTTCCCAATGCTTTATGGATCCACAGAAAAATGTGTAAATGATTTATTAATTAATAATTATGAAACATATCATGTCCGGCGCCTCCACCAGAATCGGCCCATGTTTACTTTCCCAATGTGTATAGGAGCTTCTATACACATGATATCTACTGTGGTAGTGTATGTGTAAATATGAATGAACGACGCAGGAAGTCGTATTGCTTGCAAAAAATTAATGAAAATGTGTTTAGGTTGGAAACTTTGTGCTGAGTATTCATATAGTTGTCTCAGAATGTATGTCTCAGAATAGGTATGCATGGAACAATACTCAGAATAAAATTATATTTTTTTAGGTTGGCGAAAAGAATTAGGGTGATTTTAGATTGTGATGATAATACGTTATCATTTGAAAAAAATTATGAATTTTTAGGGGTGGCTTTTCGTGGTAAGTAATTTTACTTCTGTAATAAAATTCAATTTATTTTTTGTGAAACTGAAAATATATCTTATGTATAGGGCTGCACTGAGTCCGCCGAGTACTCGGCCGCCAAACCAAATTTTTGCCGAGTAACGGGTACTCGGTTTTATAATCAGGACTCGGCCTAGTAATTAAAATGTGAGAAACGAGAAAAGTTTTAATTTTAAAAAAGGGAATACTAATAAATACATAAGTATTTTCAGGGGCGTGGTCACCAGTGTTCCGTGTGTTTCGCGGAAACCGGTTTTGCCGTTTTATCATATTAATTCTTTATACTCTTTTTTAAATTTTGTGTAGAGGGGCGGGATTTTGCCTCCCTCATACACTACTATTTATTATTTATTTAAGCGGCGGGGGATAGTTTCAAAATGTACCCCCCCTTTAGGGTCTCAAATTAAAAATAAAAATCAAATAAAGTGAGAAATTTAAAAAACCGACAACGTTTTCACATTTTTATAAAGAATTTAGAGTTCTTATAGTATAAAGACTTACTTTTTGATTTGTATGTTTCTAATAAACACATATATTTTTGTATATATAGTGTAGTTTTATCTTTTGCGAGTCTGAAAAATAGCAATCGACCACCATGTCTCTCGTTCTGGAAAAAAAACAGACCTCAGTGCAGCCCTAATTATATATTACATTTTCACTTCGGTTTTAATTAGGCAATATTAAGTTGATATTCATAAAAGTTTTATTATGTGATGAAGAGTGGCAGTTGCTCCATTGGCATTACAAAAACTTTTAATATGATGATAATACAACTAATTGAACAACTAATTAACTGCTAAATGTCAGGCACCAAAGGACTATTATTATTGTAAGCCATTAACTTTCATATATAATATGTGTCCTTGATCATGTGGGCAGAGTCTCCAAACTGTGATGTTTAGTTAAAAATACCGCGATATCACAGCGATATGTTCATGAAGGTAACCTTTTTTTAATGAATGTGAATCTTTTGAGGTATTCAACCCTAAAAATGGCCTGGAACATTTATTTTCCTAAAATATGTGTTGTACTTTTTAATATCATTTGATAAAATGTGGGTACTGGGTAGACAAATTTATATATACACATATTATTTCCACATGTTTTGAAGAATGCAGAAATGATCAGGGACACATCTATACATATAAAATGCTTTGTCCTGAATGACTGACTGACTGACGGATCATCGCACAGCCTAAACCGCTGAGAGAAGAGACCTGAAATTTGGAGGGTGTGTTCTTTTAATAATAATAATGCTGCATTTCTTCAAACCGTAACAATTTGTAAATTAAATAGCTAAACACTAAACATATAAACGTAATTAAATACTTTATGACAATGACAATAACTTCAGCCCATATAGTTAATTATGTAGACCTCTATAACATACTAAAAAAGTCTAGCCAATAATATAGAATTAGGTACATCTTCAATTACAATCAACTTTATTTACTTTTAAGGTATTCCAAAACATATATGTTTTAAATGTGTATAGAGAATTACATTCTTTGTTTTCATTTGTTAATTTATTATATTCCCTAAATGCATTTGAAAACAAGCTACATATATATTTAGCAGTAATGACTGGTGGATTTTCAAATGTCTATATTTCGGTTATAAAAGCTGGGACCCAAATTATATTTTTAAGTCGTGACTATTAGGCTCATATAGCTTGTTGCTTGGGCAAAATAAAGTCAGGCAATATTTGCGAATATTTTTTTTTCAAAATGGCCTGTGCCCTCCAGCTATCTCCAAAACCAATCGCAAGACTTTCGTGTAATATTTTTTTTCGTAATCAAAAGACAAAAAATACAAGAACCCGTTTTTTTTGCTCTGTAGAAAATTTAAATTTTCTTTAAAGTTATAGCATTTTCAAATTTCGGAAATAGAAATCCCCTATTCATTTAAAATTTACTTGTGTAGGCAACTATGAAAGTAATTGATATTTTGTAAAAAATAAAAAAAACGGATTCTTGTATTTGTCCATTGATTATGAAACAAAATAGCTGGGGAGGAACAGGCCATTTTGAAAAAAAATATTTCGCAAATGTTGCCGGACATTATTTTTCCCAAGCAACATTTACTTTTTCAAAATGACCTGATAGTCAGAACTTCAAATGTAATTTGGGTCCCAGCTCTTATAACAGAAATATAGACATTTGAAAATCCACCAGCCGCCACTGAAATTTAGATGCTCTTCTTCTTTCAATATAAGTCTTTTTTTTATGTTTTAACTAATGTAGTTTAACAAAAAAAAATTTGTAGGGCTGCCAGACAAAAAAATTGTATCCGACAGTATCAGCAGTGTATGGAAATACAGAAGTATCAATGGTATATCTAGGTCCACCGTTGGATGGCTAACATAACCCTAATCACATAGCCTAATATTGGTATATGGAGAGAGATTTATACGTCTGTTTTAAGATGGTTATTCAGGTCAGTCCGGTTTGCCCATGTGATAATTATTACTATTTTACTTGTACACAATTTTGTTATCAACTTCCAGCCCTAATGTGGCTACGCTATACGGCAGGTATATACGATTATGGTGTAATAGATTTGTATGTAAGGTGATTATATTAAGCAAAAACTGTAGTTGAAGTAAATGTAAGTTTTGAGGAAAGTATTGTTTTTAATTGATTTACTAAAACAATGAAGACGTTTTTTTAATTAATTTTTCATGGCAATTATACTTTCACTGTGGTAACAAACATTTTTGCCTGATCACTTAGTTGTGTTTATATGATTGATTATGGATTCCACTAGGTATTATGTATAATTTGGTGTTAATTTAGTATAACATAGCTGGGTATTTGTAGGTGTTTATAGTAAACTTAACATTTTGTTAAGTTTGCCTCGTCTGATGAACTTCATTGCTGGTACCATAGCGATTGCTCTTACAATCCTTATATTATAAAAATCACTATTAAATATAGGAAAAGGCTAAAAAAAAATTTAACACTACTTATATACAAAATACAGAATGAAAAATAAAAGGAAGGAAAAACTGGAAATAGTATTTCTTTTATTAAAAACGGTAAAAAAATAAAATACAACACACGCATAAATAACGTCATAAGATCCTGAAAAAGAATAATTTAATTAAAAACTGAAACTCCTTGATGTGAATGCTTTCAACAAATGTACAAAAATGTGGTTATAAATTAGGCGCGTTTTTTCAGTTCACTAGTAAAGAAATTGATAACATAAAAAAAAACAATTCCAATGTTGCCAACTATATTTTAGCAATAAAAAAAATATAGAGATTTATCCATGAAGTAATGGTTTATCAAACAATCGTTTACTTTTTGACATAAGCTAGTTTTTGACCGTCAACTGTTATAAAAGAATAATGTAATATAGTCTTGATATTAATTTATTATGTCATGGCACAGGAATAAAATCTTTCATTGATTGCCACCTGTGTTACTTTCGTAGCAACAGAATGCAAAAGTAGTTTCTTTTACAAAAATATCTGTAATAAATAAATCCCTTTATTTTATATAAATGTCAAATGTAATTCAACAGAAAATGAATTATTTGCACAAATATGGAAAGTGGTGGCTTTGATTTATGAAATACCTAGTAAGGCATTACATTCAAAGGATTTCTTTATAATATGCGCTCCACATTCCGTTAACCCATTAGATTGACTATGGTAAGGTGGACTTTTCAATGGTTTAATACCATTAGCTTGGCAGAGGGGGGTCTGTAGCTCAGTTGGTAAAGGTGTTGGCTCGCAAGCAGTAGATTGCAGGTTCAATCCCTGGTACTCAGATCTCTCCGTGAGTTAGATGGTAGAGTAGCTAACAGCTAAATCTCGCCCGTTAAAATAGTCATTTAAAAAAAAAAAAAAAATAAAATTTCACAAATTCTGCTGAATTAAATAGTGAACTTATCACTTATCAACTGATTGGGTAAGTCCATTGTAGAAGATGTTTGTTTTAATGTATCTATGCTAATATCCACTTAATGTAGATGCTAATATCCACTTATACTTTAATATACTATACTTCATATGAAATGAAAAATGTTATTAGCAAATGGAAGTACAGAATTAGAATGTATATTTCCTATTTTGATTTATATTACCAATGTCACCAATAAAATCAAAATTTCAGAATCGTTTAAAGTAGCAAGTCAGAAGTGGTGTTTTTGTGTAAATTACAAAATAGGTAATTGACATTAAAAAATAAATATGTATACATCACAGGCAAATGGTCATTTTAGCCTGGACAGAAGGCTTTTCATATCGTGAAATAATCATACATTATACGACTGTTATAAATGTAATTTGTTTAAATACGCATGTTCCTTGCCCTGACTAGGACAAGGAACATACATAATATTTAAACAAATAACATTAAAATAGCAACCGTATAATGTATAATTAATTTAGAAAAAGGAACACACTAAGAGCCTGCTGCCCAGACAGATAGTATTTGCCTAAAATGACCATATGCGATATACAGTGTGTGCCCTTTGAAATGGAATCACCCTCTTATTTTGGAAAGCCATGGACGATTTTCAATTTTGTTTTTAATTCAGTATACTACAAAAAAAGCTTTCTCTAACGGTGTAAAGAAAGTGAAAATTAGTCAACGTAAAGGCTAATTCCGATTGGTCGCTATGTATAAAAAATCGAGTTTGACTATTAGGCATTTGTTTTTTCTTAAATTGAGTAGCAATTTCGCTTACAAACGGTATCAAATGCCCCTATGCAAAATTTCATCAATAGAAGATGGACAGGGTGTTCAGCATCAAGTTTGATTATAATTCCTTTTTTGATATTTCCATTCGAAAAAAAAATACTTTACTTTTACTATTTACTTACTTAAGTCATCAAAGAAGACAATAAACAAATAAATAAAAATTAATGGAAAAGTTTTAATATTTACAAAAAAAATTTTAAAAATTAAATAAAAAAAACAAGGAATGTAACAGCAAAAAAAATACCACAAAAAATGTATTTAAATGTGACTGTCTTCAACATAGCTGCCTTCCCGTTAGAAAAATGATATACAGAGTCAATTAAAGAATACAATTTCCTAAATTCTTTTTTTCGTGCTGAACACCCTGTACATATTCTATTGATGAAATTTTGCATATGGGCATTTGGTACCGTTTGTAAGCGAAATTACTACTCAACTCGATTTTTTACACATAGCGACCAATCGGAATTGGCCTTTACGTTGACTAATTTTCACCTTCTTTACACCGTTAGAGAAAGCTTTTTTTGTAGTATACTGAATTAAAAACAAAATTGAAAATCGTCCATGCCTTTCCAAAATAACACAAAATGATTCCATTTCAAACGGCACACACTGTATACACAATTTAATGGTTTTTTTTCTAAAAGAGCAGTCTAGATTTTCTTGTTTTAACAACTTCAATTGTCATAACCTCAATTTTTATGATCAGTGGCTGTCACTAGTGATTCTTTAATATCTTTATTACGGACTTTTTAAAAACTATCAAATAACTGAAATAAAAGTAAAACTGCACATTGTCAAATATGTAAATCTATTAGGTATGCTATTAATGTGTTTGTGAACATAGAATTTTGCCGGACAAAATTTTATTCTTGCTTTTGCTTATATCGTAGCATTAGCTGGAATAAATTACGGATTCATATTATTTAATATTTTTGCAGACAAATAAAAAATATAAGAAAATTAAAGCAAAACTGCAAAATGGATCCAGAAAATGAATATGATGATGAACGGTTTGATATGGAAAGCGATGCAGATAGTGACATTAGTGATTTTAGTGATTTTAACGATTTTAATGATGCAGAGCTAGATGAATCATTAGATGAAGAAATTAAAGAAGCGATAACTACATATGACGAATATGTGAAATATGCCCAAATGACTATAAATAAGAAATTATCAGATTCAGTTGATATAGCTAAAACATATTTGTGGACGGTTTTTAAAGAATTTGAGAATGCTTCTGAAACTGCAGAAAAGATCAGACGCCAAATAAAATAATGCAAGATCATTATAGGTAGTCAATTTAACTTTAACAATGTTTTTGTTACAAAGATAATGTCTCAGATAATCTTATATTTACTTCAACTACAATAAATTAATAATTTGCCATAGGTAGTGACCTGATTATTTTGTTTTCATTCATCCCATTTAATATATATAACCTACATCAAATTAGATACTTACATGTTTTAGTAACACTGAAAGACACTAGCATAGGACATAATATGAGTTAATTTTCCATACATCGTCATCGTAATTTGTCAATTGCTTAGCTCCATTTGTCTAAATTTTACAGGGGAGCATAAAAACTTCTTTCACAAAATTCCTGTCCAATATAAGTTTTATGTGGTGCAAGATGCGTATCTTCCGAGGCAACGTAAAACATTTACAAATGTAATAATTCTTTTATTGATATACTAAGTATTCAACAATAAAATTAAATAAAAACACTTACCTGAAGTATCACTTCTAATGGAAAATAAATTTGTCCGTGGCAGCATCAGCGGCGTCCAAGTATTGTTAACATGCACTATAAAGATCTGCACTTGATGACACCATACGGTCAATTTCAAGCAAAAGTGGAGTTATGCTCTTTGCAAATTACGTTGACGATATGTAAGCCTGCTCGTTTTATTATATTTGAGAGCATGTACTAATTTGGTGGTGTTAAATTATTTGAAACATGTATAGATATGATATTAGTACAAGATTCTAGGTGAAGTGTTTGTACTGCAGAGAATATATTTAGCATATCCTATGAAAACAACAAAGAATTTTATAAACACTGTGTAAGTGTTATTGTGCCTTTAACAGGCAGATACACTAGCAATAACTTGCCTAGGCTGCCACTGTAATATGTAGGCCAAATGAAGAGTAGGTACATTAATAGTGGGAGTAATTCCGACTGGAATATATTTTAATCTGCTTGATTTGGTATCAAGAAATACTGTCTTAAATTTTTACACCTCAGAAAGCTCGGATTTAGTTTTACTGCCATCTGATAGACAATAAGGTGTCTACTTATTTACTGCCTAGACTTTGGACTTTTGCGACTCGAGTTACTAATCCATTGGTGAAGTCTAACAATATTATATTTGACAAGTATGGGATTATCAAATTTGAGAAACGTACACCTATGATTTAAAAAGGGAAGGGTATTGAAGCCCACATTACTTTTTGAAAGTTTTAACAGTAGTTTTTCTTTATATGTAAACTAGAGTCAATTTGTACTTCGAGCTCATAATTTGCGGAATGTGCATTAGAAGAAAGGGGGGAACAAGTCTTGGGGGCCATTCTAGAGCTTGCCTGCAAATGAAAGGAATACGTACACTTTGCACATAACTTATTAGCAGCTCAAATGCGTGAACGGAATACGATAATAATGTAGCTGAAGTTCTACGAAACAGTCAGGTATATTTATGACCATTCTTTAATTTGAGAAACGCAGCAACTTGTTCTGGCATTTTTCTAAATCTATAAATTAGTTATATGCTTTGTCATTTGAATATTTAAAAAAATGTGTTGTTATCTATTTGTGTACTATAGTACTTGCGGTACTATATTTCGAATATGTCTAAACATTCACTTACAAAGGACCTTTTTTTTGGCAAGAATTAATCTGTACTAGGTTCTGTGATTTGGCTGTTTAAGATAAACCAGGTCTGAATCAGTTCACAAAACTTTTATGTGGGTGTTTCCATTTAAAGTTTTCAGGGAACGCACGCCGCGCCACTGGATCACATTATATAACTATGATTGATGTAGTTCTAGAACAGGACTCGGTAAATATGTAAATATAACAATGTGTAGATGAAAAGAATAATTAATTATTTAGATGAGCTTGATGGTTGCATAATGTCGGGGGCAGGCTGCGTTCTCTAAAATATACTTTTTTAATTAACCGGGTTAATAAAAGGATTAACATATATATTCTGAACTTAGGGACTGCTATTAAAACTTTCCATTTTTTTTTGGCTGGCACTAAAAAGTGTGGTGTATAGTATCGAATTCATAATAATGCTTTATTTTAAACTTCCTAAAACTATTAGTGTACCTATACAACAATTCAATATTAAAAAATAACACTAATACAGTATTTAACCTAGTGCCAATTTTATAACATAGTAAAAAAGAAGGTTAAATATGCATATATAATCAGTTATTTGTTTTACCTTGTTTACTTTACTATACTATACTAGGAGTATATACAGGGTAGATATGAGTTTGCATTATGCAGTCATTATTATTTTTGTAATTAAAAAAAAGTTTTTTGAGGCCTTTTCAACACTTTGGCGATAAAATAAAAGCAGCGACATTGACGATGGTTTCTTTGGTTCTTTGGATCAAAAGTGGCTCCTACATTTGATTTTAATTATAATAATTGAAAAACAAGGCATACTTAAAATAAGTGTTATTCTGTTTAATCTATATCTTGTTAACTTTACAGTGTTGGATAGGTCTTGGGTCTTGGTGAATCCGGTATGGGCATAGTGAGTGTATTGTAGATTCATAGATTGCATGTTTCTAATAAATCACAATAGAATCACTTTGCCCTTGTGTACATCTGCCTGCGATGCCGCTTGCACCAACCATCTTCATGCATTTTGTGCCCCATTTAACACTGTTAATATAAGTATAAGCAAACTGCTTCGCCCAAATGTTGGTTGGACTGTCAAAAGTGTGCCAGTTCATGACCCACTTCAAAGAATTTCTTTTACTATTCCTACTAAATTACTTATTACCTTCAAGAAAAAATAAATGTAGTGTATTATTCAGAATTTGATAAA